TATATATGTATATGTGTATATATCTATTCGTATCTATGTGTAATTTTTTTTTCTATGTTTGTTTCAGTGTTAGTGTGAGGTCTTGAAGCTGCATCTACTTTGAGTCTGAAAGCAAATGAAATTGCACTTTCAATGTACTGTAGGCAATGTGTTCCAGGACTGTGATGTGACAATGTGGCCTAGCACATTTATTCACATCAACTGGCAGCACGCAGCATTGAAGTTGGTTTGGTAATCAACTCAAGCATGCTGTTGACTTTCCAGTTTTCTTCTGTGCATATATATATGTGTGAGCATATAAAATGCATATATATATATATATGTGCGCGTGTGTGTGCGCGCAGGCGTGTGCGTGTGTGTATCTTTTGCATGGTGTTTGTATATTGTTAGTATGTAGTTAGTTGACTGTGGGGCCCTAACAGTTCTGAATCAGCCTTTGTATGAATGTGCCTCATAATACCCTCAAGTAAATATAGAATAAATCTCATTGTGTGCAGACAAAATCCTTGTTTAGTCTCATATTTCTTTTACACATATTTTCTGGCAGATCGGAATAACACGTTAAAATGTTAAATTGTGTCTGTACACTGCATGTAGTCCATATGCAAGACAGTTTCTTTTTTGTATATGTTATTACCTTTTTTTGTGTTTTGTTCCAGTTCGACGGGTCCCACCGAGGTTCTCTATCCCCCCCACCAATCATGAGATAATGCCTGGCGGGAGTGTAAATATCACGTGTGTTGCGGTGGGGTCACCAATGCCATATGTGAAATGGATGCTAGGAGCAGAAGATTTGACACCTGAGGACGATATGCCAATAGGGAGGAACGTCCTTGAGCTTAATGATGTCAGGCAGTCTGCAAACTATACTTGTGTTGCTATGTCTACCCTTGGTGTTATAGAAGCAATAGCACAGATAACTGTCAAAGGTATATCCAAAGCACCTATATTTGGACATAGTTCAGTCTTTTCTTTAGTTCATTGTCATATTCTGAGCAAATACATTGCACTGAAAGGGACTAAAATCCTCTTACTCTCTTAAATCAAGAGGGTAAATATTCCAGCAAATCACTGGTTTCAGACAAAATACAGATTAAGACAGCAATAATACTAATAAATAAGTTAAACAGAATGTTCCATTTTTATTTGTGACTAGTCCCAGCCTTCATTTCAAGTAAAGGATCTTGTAATCTTGCATGTATTTGTCAACAGCAGGAGCATTTAAGGACCAGTCATCTGATTTTTAATGTTGCTGGGTCTCCAAGTATCATGTTCCCTGAGTAACTGGAAACAAGAGGTTCCAAAAATAACTGAAAATTAAACTCTAAAGGTGCACTGTCCCTCTCTAAGATTCCTCTTCTGCATAAGTTTATGGGATCTATTACAGAAGTTAGAATAACTTTGTATCAAGTAAACCTTACACTGCAAAGATTGAAGATTTTCTGATAGATTTCTGCAGTAAATGATAATTGCCAAAAACTTGCTCTAAACAGACCACGTCTTTCCATTCCAATTTTCATGTTTAGTTTTTGGTTTTATTGTTGTTTGTTTTCAGTTTTTTTAAACTGGTTATTGTAATAATTAACGTCTGCTATTACATAATGCTAACAGTTTGTTGTTTTGTTTTTTTTTTTAATTATCTTTAGCCTTACCCAAACCTCCTGGAACACCTGTGGTAACAGAAAGCACAGCGACAAGCATAACATTGACTTGGGATTCTGGAAACCCTGAGCCAGTTTCTTACTATATCATCCAACACAAACCCAAAAACTCTGAGGAGCCATATAAAGAAATCGATGGGGTGGCCACAACTCGCTATAGTGTGGCTGGCCTAAGCCCATATTCAGAGTATGAATTTCGGGTAGTTGCTGTAAATAACATTGGGCGAGGGCCACCCAGTGAGCCAGTGTCAACAAGGACTTCAGAGCAAGCACCTTCAAGTGCACCACGCAATGTGCAGGCCCGAATGCTGAGCTCTACCACCATTTTGGTACAGTGGGAAGAACCTGAGGAACCTAATGGACAAATACAAGGTTATAGAGTTTATTATACCATGGACCCCACTCAACACGTCAACAGTTGGATGAAGCACAATGTGGCTGACAGCCATATTACCACTATTGGGAATCTGGTACCCCAGAAAACGTACTCTGTGAAGGTTCTTGCTTTTACTTCTGTTGGGGATGGACCACTTTCTAGTGACATTCAGGTCATCACTCAAACAGGAGGTAAGCTAACAATGAACAGAATTTGTGCTAAAAATTTAAATGCAGATATTTTGCAAAGAGGGAATTTGATTTTTAACTGTTGAAAAAAAATTCCTCTAAAGGATAGCCAGTTCACTCAGGCAAATTTTGCAGATAAGCTTTTCTCAATTCCTCAGTGCAAGCTATCACTGAAGCGTGGTAATTATCCCCTCACACTTTATTTCTTTTTTCATCAATATCAAGAAGTTTAACTGAAGTTTAACTTAAGTCTCAGGGAGACCTTCATCCTGGATGTGGCTGAATGTTATGGCTTCTATTTAGCAGTGTTCTGTGCACTAAAAGTGTTTGCCAACACTTCTTCACAGCTTTATATAAGGAGTTAACTGTGTTGGTGGTTTTTGTTTAGGTGGCATGTTGTTCCTTTAGGCTACATCACTCTAGTGAATCTTGTTTTGGAAATTTAAAACACATGTGTACTGCATGTGCATTCAAATAGTTGGTAAAGTTCTGAAAGCACATACAACCTGAAAACATTAAAAAAAGCAACAAACCTTTGTGTAGGTTCAGGCAATCAGTTCTTTACACTTTGGATTTATAAATCAAGTCCAACCTGCCCCTACAAATTGCATACACCACAAGTTACCAGTTTCTTGTCTTATGTTTGCAGTTAGGTTGTTTTGTTTCTGTACAGGAGTTTTAGGTCCATGAATTAGTTTTATTAACAATGGACAAACAAGCATAGTGAAAAACATTGCAGAGAATTTTTATGAAATCAAAGCAAGAAGCACTGGTAGAACTGCCCTGCAGAAAGTGTTTTACTATAGCAATAAGAAATAAAAGCTCCTTTTGTCTAGCAGTTTAGGGAAAGCTGTGTGAAATATTACTGTAGGTCAGTGATTGCCTAGAATTATTGTATAATGCTACTTCAATTTTTTAGTCCTGTAGTCTCCTCTTGAAGAATTTAACATCCCTCAGATTCTTAAAAAATGCATCTCTAAGGTGTAACTGAAGATGGTTATGTATCATCCACGTTTTGCTTCTGTGTTTTACCCATACACATTTAATAAAGAACTGAAATTGAGGTATTGTCCTGGAACCTAAGTGTTGTGTTACACAAAGATCTGGGTGTTCTCTCTTGCAGTATCTCCACTGAGAAGTTACTCAATCAACTTTCTTAGTCATGGTGGTGCATTAAAATGTGTCTGTTTGCATGTACAAATCTCAGTATGATCACCGTAGTTCAATTTTGCCAATTGTAACCTATTGCAGAGACTAGATTTTATATTGACATGTGACGTATTTTTCAATCGATGTGCACAAAGCTTTTAAAAAAGAAGGTTTAGTGAGATCCTCATCTTTAACTTCATTTATAAACCTTTTAGATCAGCAAGAGTTTGTCAGAGGCTTACCCAGAGAAAGATGAAGCAATTGAAATAATGAGCACCGAGGCTCAGCTGAATGAGCCCATTTTACATTACTTGCTGAGGTCACTTCAGAAAACTCTGTTTAGTAAAAACTTTATAGAACTTGCCGTTAAATGTGCCTGTCTGTTTCCAATTGCTATCTGAAGAAATGATGACAGTGTCGACAGGAAGGATTCTCATTACATTTTTAACTTCGTAGCAGAGTTGATTGCACACTGTTTATTTGTGACTATGTTAAAAATCAAAGGAAATCTAAAAGTGCAGCATACAAGAGGCATTTTTATGCACTGATACTTGTACTTGAAATAGGAACATTTTAAATCATAAAAAATAGCTAAGAAAGTCTAGTGCAGATTTCCAGCTCAGGATATGTGTAAAAACTAAGATTCTCCCATCTTTCTATCCAGTCTCTATTCAGTGAACACTGCAGAATAAAATGCCCTCCTTGCACTTCTATTCTAGATTTGCTTTAATCTAAATCTGAATATGATTGTTTTGGTTTATGTCTCTCTGAAGCTGAGACTCATCTAAATAAATATAGACAAATACAAAGTACCATTTAAAACCAGCACAAATGGAAACATATGTAAAAGAGTAAAAATAGGAATGGGATGGTGATTAAGTTTTGATCGTTTGGGGTTTTTTTTCCACTTTTGAATAAAATAAGCCTATCATTGTAAATATGTAGCTTAACCCTTATTATTTTGGGGATATTAGAGTATACATACAACAAAATCTGATTGACAGCTGTGACTTACAGGATCTATTAACTTGTTTTTTGTATTCTGATCTTTGAAGAAAGATTGTAAAAAACTAATAACATTTTTTTTAAAAGCCTGTTTACGAGAATCTCTGATGTCTTCATAGAGCAGAATTGTTCTTTTGAAACGGCTGTATGAGTGGCTTCACACGTTGCAGGTCAGACAGAACTCTGCTTATAGTGAAAATTATAATTATAATTATAAAATTATAATAACTGAACATTATTTATGTTCAGTTTTGTGTGTCAATATTCTGCTTAAGTATTTTAAGGAAAAGCCATGTCCTATGGCCCAGTTACTTTCAGCAATTTTCTTTACTGTAAATAGACACCATTTTAAGAAATGAAGTCATCAGAAAACAGGTGTAGAGTTAAGCCTTTTGAATAAGGGAAGACCAATTCCAAAAGCTACACCTAAAAAGTCCTTATTCTGCATTTTGGGTCAAGTGACTTGATTCTGCTGAGAATAGAGTCAGGACCAGTATACTATTTAACATGAATTACTAACACCAAATTTTAGAATAAAGAAATACTGATATCAATTTTAGTATGATATTTCTTCTCCTTTTTCTTTACTTCTCTAGATAACAAAAGCTCAGTTGGTTTGTCTTCATTTAGCTCTCCAGGGCACATTTACATCTTTTCTCATATTTCCTTTCTTTGTTTACACCTTCTAGAAGTACATATACTGCCTGAGCAACATACTTTAACCTGTGTGCACTAGGAAAAATCTTGAGCTTTAAATTATGTGTCTGGATTCAGATTTAGTTTGGTTTGGTTTTTAATGTGCAAAGAGAAGATAGCTACTGAAGAACTTGAGAAAATCCTTATTTTATTCTGAGCTCAGGTAGAAAGAAGAGAGAGTGAGAGATAGATGAGGTCTATTGGGTAGTGGATTATTGGAGAGAGAAAAAATATTCTGGGGAATGAATGTGTAACTGTAAACATACGTTTGCTTAAAGAAGAACTTAAAATCTAAAACATGTTGATTTTAAACCAAGGAATGGCAGTGGTATGAAGACTAAGTTATAAAAGGCTAATGTTTTGAACATATGGAAAAGGACAGTAATGAGAAGGTCAAGTATCTGGCTTGCAGGGCACAGAAATAGAGCCGTAGCTTAAGGGAAATGAGCTAATGGGTCTGGAGTTCTTATTGTAAAATATTAGACATTCAGAGGAAGGAATCTGTAGCAAGGGAATACAGTTCTGTGTTGTAGCAAGCCAGCTACTTTGCCAGACATTTAAATTTTTTAATGAACACATGAACGGGGAAACCTCATGTCTCTGAAACCACATGGTACTAGATTCCTTCGTGGAAATGGACTTCCACAAGGGAAGCATTGGGAGCATGCAGGTCGAAACTCAACTGTGATTCAAGAAAGCAGGTGAAAGGAGAATAATTAGGAGCTTAGGAAAGGTGCAGGATTTTTTTTAAGTAACAAAATTCCGCTTAAAGGAGAATTCTCTTCAGGTACCAAAGAAGATATCAGATTTTGAATAACCCTTCTTCTCTCAAAGAATAGTTAACCTTTGTTAAGTACACCAGTCTCTATGCTTACTTCATTTAAAGGAAGATGAAACTAGTATTGAGAAACTTGCCCCCCCCCCCCTTCCCCTATGATAATTCTAGCTTTTAATATCCCTCTCTTCTGGTTAAAACACAAGATAGGGTACAGATACAGATTTTGGTGGTGGGTTTTTATCCTGATTTTTTTTTTTTTTTCCAAGAATTCTGATTTTTGTAAATATGTGTATGAGTGCTGGAACACATTATTTTGTCGCTGAAATCATGCATGGAAGAATGCAGCTTGAAATAATTTTAAGACAACTCTACTGCTACTCCGTAGAAATATAATTATAGTATTATAGAATGGATTAGATTGGAAGGGACCATAAAAATCTTCTGGTTCCAACCCCCCTGCCATGGGCAGGGACACCTTCCACTAGGCCAGGTTGCTCAAAGCCTTGTCCAGCCTGGCCTTGAACACTTCCAGGGATGGGGCATCCACAGCTTCTCTGGGCAACCTGTTCCAGTGTTTCACCTCCCTCTCCGTGAAGAACTTCTTCCTGGTATCTAATCTAAACCTCCTTACTTTCTATTTAAAACCATTACCACTGTCCTGCCACTACAGGCCCTTGTAAAAAGTCGCCCCTCAAATTTCCTGTAGGCCCCCTTCATGTACTGGAAATCTCCACACAGCCTTCTCTTCTCCAGGCTGAACAGCCCAACTCTCTCAGCCTTTCTTCGTAGGAGAGATGCTCTAGCCCTCTGATCATCTTCATGGCCCTCCTCTGGACTCACTCCAACCGTTCTATATCTTTCTTATGCTGAGGGCCCCAGAGCTGGATACAGTACCCCAGGTGAGGTCTCACGAGAGCAGAATAGAGAGGGAGAATTCCATCCCTCAACCTGCTGGATAGGCTTTTCTCCAGGCTGTAGCCCAGGATATGGTTGGCTTTCTGGGCTGCCAGCGCACACTACCGGCTCATGTTCAGCTTTTCATCCACCAGTACCCCCAAGTCCTTCTCCTCAGGTCTCAATCCATCCTCTGCCCAACCTGAACTTGCGCTTGGGATTGCCCCGACCCATGTGCAGGACCTTGAACATAGAGTGTAGACAGAATTATTCTGAAGAATAATTAATCTCTTCAGTGTGTTCTTTAGTCATTCAGACAAGACTAGGCATACTCTACCTTTTAGACTGACCCAACATTTTTATTTTATTCTGTAGCCTCACTCAATGTGAGTTACACATATTAAGTTAAGAAAGTGATTTATAGATTTCTGATTATTTGTCACAAAATGTGCTATGCTTTTTGGACATTTAAAACATACTG